ATTTATTCATAGCGTTTGTATACGAAGAATTATTATTTGAAGTATCGAGGTATTAAAGTAGTATTGTAAGTATTGAGTGAGAAGTATTAAATATTTATTTTGAATTGTGCCTTCGAGAACAATAGCTACCTTATGGCAGAGACAAATGAAATTCTATTTGAACAGTTGCAAAGATGTTAAATGCATTCCGTTGTTGTCCTGATATACACTGTAATTGTTTCGTTATTGAAGGTTCTGGATGCAGTAAGTGAAGTACACGCTTATTCAATCAAACATCCCGAGTGCTTTAAAAGTATTCATCCGAACAAATTCATCGATAATCTTGTTCAAGCACATGATGAAAGATCGGTTAGTTTTGACGTTGAAAACATAGAGCTGATAATGTTGTCAGACGGTTTGCGATGAAGTGGAGATGAAAGTTATGCGAACTCTTTGAACATCACTTAGAATAGTTCTGTTCCCATATCATGCTTGATGCATTCATGATGGTTGTGGTATCCTAAGGAAATCAACAAAGCAAGTGAATCGAACAATTCCTGACACAATTCACAAAAGACTGAAAAATTTATCTTTGAGTGGTGGAGTTTTATAGGGATGAAACAGCGATGTATCCGTTTGAAAAAGTGAAAAACCACTCAAAAACAGATGAATTTGATCAAGTTACAATCTGTTGTGTGCAGTTCAAATGAAATCAAGGAAGTGCTTTCGTTTCAGTCACCGCTCGTGCTTCTTAAAGATCTGAAGGTGAGATACAAAGAGAAGTTGGGCAATACAATCGATGAGATCATAAAAAATATTGATGAAATATTCAATAAGAACACCATCAACGAACTGAATGCAAAATTCGGTACTTCATATATGGAATATCTTTTAGCTTCGCATATTTTTCCATTTATAACCACATTCGAAAGAAATCGCCAACTCGTCACTTCTTCACTCAGAGCCTTGTAGTCGAGGATGAACAGTTAGATTGTCATATTGGAGAAGAGTTCAAGTATTCACATTGTTTGCAGCTATTATCATAGGCCAACATTGTTGTGTTCAGGAATGCAGCCCACTTTGGCTCACTGCGAACTTTGGACGCAAAATTTAATTTGGAAAGAGCACGATAAAAAACGAGAGTTGGCAGCTATTATTGACTGGGAGGTATGTTCATCTTTGTTCTTAAAATAATTTCACTTCACATGGTCATGTTAGCTTGAACAAGACCATGATTATGACCACATCAAAAAGTCGCAAAATATCGCATATCTCAACACTTCTAACAAAACTGTGTTTGACAAATCATGGAATGTAACTGTGTTTATATGATCATCCATGCCAAGAACGTCATCTTTTCAGTGTGTTCACGAGGGTAATCCGAGTGAAGATATTGCCTTTATGATAGCATCCTCACTGAGTGCTGATGATCGTCATCAACACGCAGATACCATACTCAAGCACTATTATGATCATTTAACTGAACTCTTACAACAGCAGCCACCTTTCACTTTGCAGCAGGTGTGATGTTTTTATTGAGATGCTTTAAGCGTACGGAGTATCTTCCCATTGCCCATGAATATTTCGCTGATCCGTGAATTATTCTTCGATCAAATCGCAAGAAACTGACTGGATCATGAAGTGAATCCTGAACTATGATGAGGGACAAT